ACAACAGAATTGACAGTAATACAATTTAAAGCTTCAGTAAAGCATTTAAAGAGTCATAGAGTTGTACAGCACAGAAACAGACCCGTTGGTTCAACTCATGCATGCCGACCAGATATCCTAAATTAATCTAATAATGACCATGAATCAATTGTCGGGAAAAACCCATCTGGCTCACTAATGTCCTTTAGGGGAAGGAAATTGCCATCCTTACCTGGTCTGGCCTACATGTGACTCCATACCCACTGACATCATGGTTGACTCTTAAACCCCCTCTGAAATGGCCCTACAAGCCGTTCAGCTCAAGGGCCAATGAGGGATGGTCAACAAATTCTTGCCCTGCGGTGTCCACCTCCGATTGCTGTCCTTGGCATACTGAGGCCCTTCAATGAATTGGCCTTTCACTTGCCTTTTATCAGTCCGAGCTTCAGATAATTTGATGGTGTCATTGGCCATCCAAGCGTGTGGGTACTCGGCAGCTTCCTGTCAGAGGCTCCAGCCAAGGCAAGATGTGAGCTGTTTCAAAAGTGCATGGCAAGACCCCACCAATGGTGATACGAAACAATGAGCAGACAACGGTCTTTGTTTTGTGAGGTATTAGTTGAGAGATAAACATTGTCGAATTCATGTACTGGTATTGTTCATTCACCCAAGAGGGCAGATAAGGTCTTGGATTTAACGTCTCATTCCAATACTGGGCACTCCTGATCATGTCACACATCCTCCATCCTGCACTGGGTGTGTCTACCTGGATTATGTGCTTGAGACACTGGGAATCCTGCAGCAAGTAACTCGCCTTCTATCTCTCCAAAGCCAGTCTACCATCGACAAGACACGAGTCAGGAGTGTGATGGAATACTCCCCACTTGCCTAGATGGGTGCAGCTCCAACAGCATTCAAAAAGCTCAATACCATGCAGGACAAGGCAACCCCCGCTTGATTGGCATTGCATCCACAAACATCCACTACTGACCCTCAGTAGCAACAGTGTGTACAGTCTACAAGATGCACTGCAGCAACTCACCCAAGGCTCCGTAGACAGCACCTTCCAAACTCATGACCGTTAATGATTTGGAAGGTCAAGGGCAGAAGATACATGGGAACATCACCCCATGAAAGTTGCCCTCCAAGTTCCATCCTGCATTCAAAATATATTGCTGTTCCTTCAGTGTGGCTGGGTCAAAATCCTGAAACCTCCCCCAAAGCAGTACTGTCTGGGTGTCTCTACACCAGTTCAAGAAGGCAGTTCACTAGCATCCTCTAAAGGGCAACAAGGGATGGGCAATAAATGCTGGTCCAGCCAGCAATGCCCACGTCCCCGTGATTAATGCAATAAAAATCTCTCGAGTGGGATTTGAATCCAATGAAGAGGCAAGAGAGACATGGTTGGTAGGAATGTGTGAATTAACTGTGGGGACAAATCCCAGAGCTGAGTCATTCCCTCCCACCCTTCGAAACCGAACCAGAGAGACCAAGGTGTTAAGATGTTGGTAATACCACACTGATGAAACTCAATTAGCTGCACACTGTTCTTAATTGGAAAGCTGTGGGTTTGGATGGTTGAAGGCAGCAATGTCACGGTTCATTACAGTTTGATTGGGCCCAGTTGCATCTTGATGGCAAGTGAGTCACAGTTGACGTATTTGATATAATTAGTTGGTACTTGGCACAGGCCCCATTTTGCTATATTTAGACATCATCAGAGGGTTGTGCAGCTCCAAAAAGCTGGACTGGATTTTAAAATTAATGGATTGTTCCCTTATGATATAGAGTGAGCTGTGCTGGCGGTGGAGGAGCCAGTGAATTTCACAGAATCCCTGTAGTATGGAAGCAGGCCATTTGGTCCATCAGGTCCACACTGACCCTCTGAAGAGCATCCCACCCAGGCACACACACAACCCCCCGCCCCCCAACAAACCTTTCCCTGTAACTCTGCCTTTCCCATGGCTAATCCACCCAGCCTGCACATCCCTGGACACCATGGGGCAATTTAGCATGGCCAATCCACCTTAACCTCCACATCTTTGGACTGTGGGAGGAAACCGGAGCACACGCAGGAAGCTCACACAGACATGCGGAGAACATGCAAACTCCACACAGTCACCCAAGAGTGGAATCGAACCCATGTCCCTGGCAGTGGGACAGCAGTGCCAATCACTGAGTCACCGTGCCACCCAGGGATCTCAGGAATTTCCTGGTGGACAAGTGTGTCAGGGATTCTTGGACTGTTCAGAAATGAAGCATGCAATTAGTATCTGGGTTGATTTATGGAAGACAATGGAAGTGATGAGGTTTAGAGAGGATATACCAGGATTTCTGTCAGCTAAAGGCATGGCCACCAATGGTGGAGTGACGGGTATCTGGGAATCGGAAAACTAAATGGCCTGGTTCAAGGGAAGGATTTGAAAATGAGGATGAGAGTTTTAAAATTGAGGCTTTGCTGGACCTGGATTTGGCTTAAGCCAGTGTGCACAGGAATGATGAGATTGATGATTCTATCTCATTCATTCTTTCAGGGGATGTGGGCACTGCTGGCTGGGCCCAGCATTTATTGCCCCTTCTTAAATTGCCCCTTGAGAAGTTGGAAGTGAACTGCCTTCTTGAACCGCTGCAGTCCGTGTGGTGTAGGGGCACCCACGCAGTGCCATTAAGGAGGGTGTTCCAGGATTTTGACCCCATGACTCTGAAGGAACAACATATTTCCCAAGTCAGGATGGTGAGTGGCTCACAGGAGAAATTACAAGGGGTTGTGTTTGCATGTATCTGTTGCCCTTCTAGGTGGCAGTGATCTGGGTTTGGAAGGTGGGGTCAGAGGAGGACAGGTCTAGAGGTGATGCCATAGTATGTAGAACACATAGTTCATAGTTATTTCATTGCTCCCAAATGACATGGGTAATTTGATTTTGCATAAAAAGGCACAATTTCCTCTTACCTTTTCCAGGCAAGTGATGGTCTCCATTCTGTGATTTTTGTGCCTTGACATCCATTTATCACCATCAGTCCCCAGAGGGGATCATGAAAGGCCATCAAAACATAAAATGGCTAGTGCATAAAAAGGCCAACACATTGAGTGTGTGCTGGCGAATGCAAATCAGCTAGTCCCACTCCTCATTCCCTTTCCCCAGGGCTCAGAACATTTCTTCTCTTTTCATGTGAATCCTTTCAGAAAACAATAGTTTAACCTCCTCCATCCTCTCAGGCGGTGACTTCCAGATCCTGACTGCTCGCTGCGTGAAATAAAGGTTTCTTCCGTCTGCTGCCTTTGGCTTTTCTTGCTGGACCAACGCCTTTTGATTCTTTGTCCTTCCACAGATGGGCACAATTTATTTCTTCCCAACTCTTGTGCAGAGCCCTTGTGATTTCAAATACGTGTCTCCGTTCCTCCCTGAACCTCCTCCTCTCAAAGCTGAACAATAGTTTTCTAATCTATCCCTTCAACTGGAGATGTCATACCTGGAAACGTTCTCATAACCAAGGTCTATCCCTCCCCAAAAGCCATCATACCTCTCCCTAAACTACAGGGCACAGAATCCAGTGCTACACACCCATTGAGACAGAACCTGTACATTATTCAAGCTCGTTGCAACTTCCTTCAGTAATCTTCCCTCAGTGTTTACAAAAGAGTTGGATTCCACACATCTAAACAACCATCTTCCCAACAGCTCCATCGACTTTCTGTTTTGGTAACAGCCAGACATTTGAAATAACCAGGGATGGTTAAATATGTTGTCTTGAGTTGGGACTCAAAGACAGACATCTTCCTAACGTGCATTGCAAATATAATCTTTCTGCCATTCTATCTGCATGGTAGCATGAAGCCATATTGGCAAGTTATCGCCGTGCAGTCATGTACAGATAGGACATGTATCATGCTCCGGGAGCACAAAAGCAGAGAGCGAGACACACACAGAGAGAGAGAGAGAGAGAGAGAAAAAAAGGACTCCAGTGCCCTCTTCCACTAGTGCTGCTATCTTTCACTGTTACTGTTAACAGTCACCTTTGACAGTGTCTGCACTGAAGTGGGACTTAAGACCCACCTCCTTCTGAGGTAAGGGGGAGAAACTCAAACAGATCTAATGTGACACCAGCCCTGAGTAGACACAGTATATGACTCGACAGAGTAGAGAGAACTTTACTCTATGTTGTACCCTTGTACTCCCAGGGTAGGGGCAGCACAAAGTGTAGAGCTGGATGAACACAGCAGGCCAAGCAGCATCAGAGGAGCAGGAAGGCTGACATTTCTGAAGAAGGGTCTAGGCCCGAAACGTCAGCCTTCCTGCTCCTCTGATGCTGCTTGGCCTGCCGTGTTCATCCAGCTCTACACCTTGTTATCTCAGATTCTCTAGCATCTGCAGTTCCTACTATCTCTACCCTGAGAGTGTTTGATGGGGGACAGCATGGAGGTAGCTTTACTCTGCATCTAACCTGTGCTGTCCCTGCCCTGGGAGTGTTTGATGGGGGACAGCATAGAGGTACCTTCACTCTGTAGCTAACCCCACACTATCCCTTTCCTGGCAGTGTTTGATGGGGCACAGTGTGGATGGAGCTTTAACCGCATGTAACTCTGTGCTGTCCCTGCCCTGACAGTGTTTGATGGGGACAGTGCAGAAGGACCTTTACTTAGTTTATAACAGTAGAGGATGATTTACTTTACATGTAATTCTGTACTGTATCTGTTTGATGGGGACAGTGCAGTTTGTGACCTTCTATTTAAAACAGCAGAGGAATCTTTGCTTTCAGTTTAAAAGAGCAGAGGTAGCTTTACCTTATATCCATCCTTGTACTGCCCCCTGTCCTGGGAGTGTTCAATGGGGACAGTGCAGAGGATGCTTTACTCTGTATCTAACCCCATGCCATCCCTATCCGGGAATGTCTTATGGGGACACAGTGTGTGACATAACAATATAAATCTCACATTCTCACATCACTCAGCTGCCTGGTCCTACCAAACCCACTAAATTAAAATGCAAATGACAATTACTAATTGCAATAAAACCTTTTGATATGTGTAGTGCAGCTGTTTAATGTTCAATAAATAGAAACACAAATTTCACAGATTTACATGATCTTTTCACTCACAAAAATAAACATTCAAAATTCTGTTCAGACAGGGACAGGGTGTGAATTCAGATGAAGTCCCACATCATTCTGGCTGTGATAGAGAGCAATAGTTAAACACACACACACACACACAAATTGTCAGCTGCCTGTGGCCTGCCCTGCTTTCTCGATGTGTATCATTTGTAGAATTATCCAGCCTAGAGGCCTTTTGCTAAATGCCCTTGGTACCCACTCCAAGGCTTTGAAACTGTTCCAAAAGTGCTGTGGCCAAATTTGGATGCAAAATTCCAGCTGGGGACTCTAATTAATAAAGACTTAGCGACATCTCTCATTAGTGCCCTTTACACTCGCGTAACAAAGGTATCAACCTGAGGCAAGAACAATGACAACATTTAAAAGACATGTGTAAGGGTACATGGATAGGAAAGGTTTTGAGGGATGTGGGCCAAATGCAGGAAAACGGGATTAGTTTAGGAAACCTGGTCAGCGTAGACGAGTTGGATCAAAGGGTCCGTGACGTGTGACTCTATCCCTCCCCAACAGTCATTAAAACCCGTTCCTAAACTGCAGGGCCCAGAATCCATTGCCACATGCCCATCGAGGCTATGGACAGCCAGGATAACTGTGGGGAGACTGTGTGTGTTGAGAATACCAGCAATCCGTGGATAACCTCACATGGGAGACCTGTTCAAATCCTAGCATTGCAACTAGCAGAATTCTAAGTTGCTAACTTAAACAAAAATCTGGAATTCAAATGGAACAGGGAACAAAACTGACTGCCCTTATCTTAACCTTATCTGGCCTACATGTGACAACCAGGCCCCCAGCTAATGGGATTGACTTTTAACTTCCCTCAGTTCAACGGGCAATTAGGGATAGACATCAAATGTTGGTCTTGCCACCAGCACCTACTAAAGAATGAAACTACAGACACATACACAAGGGAAAAAAAAGTGATAAGACAGCAGCATAGAGGTATGGGTCCCCAAATGGGGGTCACAGAAACAAAATGGCATTAACCTCCCTTGTAATGGTCTCCCATCAGAAGATGAGCTCCGTATGCTGAACACATGGGTGGGTTGCAGTGACCAGGCTGCAAGGTAATAATCCATCTACAAATGTGTCCTGGCATTTGTTTGACAGAGGTAGACCGGGTTTTTGTGATCCGTGGCAGCCCTGGTACTGAGTGCCCAAGACTTTTAATCTTATACAATAAATTATATAACGGTCTTTTGAAAGCAAACTTTAATAATTATATGCTGAATGCTGCTGGTATGTTTTTGCTAGAATCACAGAATCCCCTACAGTGTGGAAGCAGGCCATTCAGCCCATTGACGACTCTTTGAAAAGCATCCCACCGAGACCCACCCGATTACCCTATCTCTGCATTTCTCATGGCTAATCCACCCAGCCTGCACATCCCTGAACACTACAGACATTTTACCATGTCTAACCCACCTAGCCTGCGCACCTTTGGGCCGTGGGAGGAAACCTGAGCACCCAGAGGAAACCCACGCAGACACGGGGAGAGTGTGCAAACTCCACACAGACAGTTGCCTGAGGGTGGAATCAGACATGGGGCCTTACGCTGTGAGACAACAGTGCTAACCACTGAGCCACCGTGCCACCCAAGGGTTTGAAGTCACCTGAAATTTCCCAGCAAAAAAAAAATCAAAAAAAGTTGGAAAATACCTTGGGAAATCTTGTCATAAGACATCCATTCTTTCCTAACATTTGGCCTAAAGTGGTATTTCTGGTTTTGTTAAAATCCTCTCCCTTCCAAAATGGATAAGATTGAACAATACCAGCATCTCAGAAACAGGAGAAATAACCAACCTTTACAAGAGAAAGAAACAAATAAGATCTAGTTGCTTGGTGCAAAATCTGGAGAGCTGGAAGTCACCATTTTGATAGGTGACATTTGACTCTGAGTAATATTTCACTAGTTGGGGTTACAACTGTTTCCCTACATCTGCAGTCAATTTCACATTAGCTTAAGCCCCAAGATCACTGTTTATGATATCACCACAAGGAGGCGATGCTGAGTGGTACTTTATCACAAGGACCAGTAAAACCACAAACCCAAGTGATGGTCAAATGGCAGATGCTGGGATTTGAATCCAATTAAAGTCTGGAATTAAGATGAGCATTGCCAGAAGAGCCCATCTGGTTCACTAATGTCCTTCAGGGTGTGAAATCTGCCATCCTTACCTGGTCTAGCCTTCACACCCAAAGCAAGGGGGTTCGGGCATTGAGTGCTGGCCAACATCCCGAGAATGAATATACTTAAGTTAAAAATTCAGGGTCTTGGGTGGACTGCGTTCAAGGCCCAGGGGGACCTGCACTGAGCTCTAACGAATGTATTGTGGAGATGGAATTTCTCACAGCAGGGGGCAGACATTACCCACGGGATGGACAAGTTGGAAACCAGATCACGCTGAGTGAGCAGGCACAGACTCACCTGGGTAACAGACAAATAGGCACCTTCACGCGGCTCCAGGACTGCAAGGTGGGGGGACCATGCGAAAGGACATCGACTGACCTATTCCACCCCTCTCCAAGCCTGATAACCACCCCCACACACTGCCCCAACCGAACAGTTGCATGCAAAAACAGTGGCCAACCCACATGTCGCCATGGGAAACACCATCACTATGTGGCAAAAGCAAAACATCGCCAATTAATCCAAATCCATCGCCCCCTAGTGGCCAGCTGGTGGGCATAAAGCAACATTGAAACCATCAGCTCCATTGAAATCCTAGTTGATGGTAAAACCCTGTGTTGCCTGTTAGAATGCACGTATGTTCAAATGGATGGGCTAGAGTCACCCTCATCTTTTCAAGGCAGCGAGACTGAACCCCCCTTAGAGAGTACAGGTGTAAAATCGTGATTGCAAGCAACTCAATAATCAGTGAGGGTCAGAGGATGGGGTGGAAATAATTCTATGGTGAAGACCAATTGGATGCCAGCATTGCGGCCCATTCACAACTCTTGAATGACAGTTCATTGCACTACAGCTTCCTTCCACATCAAGACGCAACATCCCACCAAAGATCTCCTATCTATTACCATTTGTGTCATATGTTCTCTTGGCCATCAATGCAGTTGCAGACTCCCCTCAGCAGGTGGCACTGGCTGCAGAAGGTGTCACCACTTTGCCCGATGATGGTGGGCCCATAGGTGGTCTTCTTAGATGGAGTGGACAGGTATCTCTCATTCCTGGTGCACAAAGGATGGGAAATGTCCAATGGAAATGATGCACCCAAGTTGATGGGCACAAAGGCTGTCAACTCATTGCACCCAGTGAGACTCTCACAGTCCCCTCTGACTGCAAAAGATGCACAAAGGAACAGGAGGAGGAGGAGAAGCATCTCCTGCTTAAGTCATTCCATTCACACAGAAAGATCACTGGGCAAAAGGGAGTCAGTCATGCCTGTTGGTTGAGAAATGAAGACTCTAGCCCCTTACAATTGGTCCACCTCCCACCAAAGATTCCAGCCATGATTCTCTCCCCTTCTCCCCATTATTGCCCAGTTTGATCCTGCTCAGTTCAGCATTGCTCGAGAGTGGAAACGCGTACTGCTCCGTTCCCCAAACCCATGAGTTGGACGTGAAGAAGGTCAATTCTTATCTTCAGACAGGGACTCCACAGGATCAATACAGCACAGGTAGATTTTTTTTGTGGTTGAAAATTTTTGGTCCCAATCACCACCCCCTTCCCACCCCACCCTCTCCCAATCAACTGAGAAACCCCGCACCCCCCCCCAACCCCCACCGTTTCGATGTAGCCATATGTCAGGTGTGTAGAGCTAAGCCAGCCCCATTTCCTCAAGGACGCTGCGTGGAGACTCATCGTCCTGTAGAGGAGAAAGAAAAGCTTGCATCAATGTCAGAATCTTAGTGAAGCTGACAGAATTGTATGATGAAAGGGCTTAAGGCCTTCGCTCATCAACCGTGGGGATACTGTCGCATGTCTATTAATCTGAAGGCCCAAGCTAATGTTCTGGAGACACAGGTTCAAATCTCACTGTAGCAGTCAATGGAACTTAAATTCAATTAGTAAATTGAAAATTGGCTTGAAGGTAGAAGACAGAGGGTGGTGGTAAAGGGTTGTTTTTCAAACTGGAGGCCTGTGGCCACTGGTGCCACAGGGATCGATGCTCGGTCCACTGTTATTCATCATTTACGTAAACGATTTGGAATGGAATGGTTAGTACGTTTATGGATGACACCAAGATTGGTGGTATAGTGGACAGTGAAGGTGTTTATCTGGAAATATAGCGACGTCTTGATCAAACGGGCCAGTGGGCCGAGGAGTGGCAGATGGAGTCAGGAGGTGAGTTACTCACTGCCAGCCTCCCAGCCTCCGACCTGCTCTTGTAGCCATGGTGTTTGTGTTTTTATGTGACTGGTCTGGTTCAGTTTCTGGGCAGTTGTAACCACCAGGAAACTGACAGCATTGGAAACAAATTTCTCAGACTCCCCCTCTGAAAACTTTCACTCCTGCCCTACAGGATTTGGAATAGTGTACCTCCAAAAGGGAGCTGAATCCATAAAGACACTGGAGAGGTAGCAGAGATTGGGAATTGGTGGGGCAATGGTTTAAATAACAATAGGATGTGGGATCATAGAATCTCCACATTGTACATAGAGGCCATGTGGCCCTTGAGTCTGCACCGACTCTCCTCGCTGAGCAACCCTCTGCCCTATCCCTGTAACCACACATTTACCATGGCTAACCGACATAACCCTGCACATCCCTGAACACGATGAGGCAATTTAGCACGGGCCATTCCAAGACAGGAATCGGACCCGGATCCCTGGCACTGTGAGGCAGCAGTGCTGACCACTGAGACACCGGGCTGCCCCTACTGCTTCTACGAAAGACTTAGTACAGGCACAGTGGGGTGAAAGGCCTTCATCTGTGTAACAAGTGTTTATGACCACTTTTCGTGTAATTACAACCATGGTTTGAGTTTTCCAATCAGTTTTCTATTAGGCCTCTCCCAGCACACCAGATGGTTATGGGCGGGTAAGTATCCATTTGCGATGAGCAAGGCATCACAGATGTGTGGGGCGAGGATGTTTTATCCCTGTCAGTTTTGTGTGCTATTTGCATGGACCAGCTGCTGAGCGATACTCCAAGAGTTACGCAAGGGGATTGACTCTTCAGTTGTTCCAGTGCCCACTCCTCTCCCATTTTGAACTCCCGCACACAGTGGCCAGGGACATACAGCGCAGCACCACAAGAGGTCCAACCTACCTCCTGCATGAGGTCTGCCTGCTCGATGGCCTTCAGCACGTTCTTTTTCGATGTGTCCTGAATTTCACCTCCCATAAGAAATTCGTCCAGGATGAAATAGGCCTTCTCGAAGTTGAAGATGATATCCAACTCACAGACCTGCAAGCAGACAGGAATTAGCAGCACCAGAAGATTCGCCCCACCCCTGCAAGATTCCTATCTTACAGTCCCTACAGTGTGGGAGCAGGCCATTCAGCCCATCAAGTCCACAGCAACCTTCTGAAGGGAATCCCACCCAGACCCATCCCCATTCTCATTCCCCTAACCTATTCCTGTAACCCTGCTTTCTCCCATGGCTAATCCACCTAGCCTGCACATCCCTGGATGCTATTGGGCAATTTAGCACAGCCAATCCATCTAACCTACACATCTGTAGATCGTGGGAGGAAACCAGAGCACCCGGACGAAACCCATGCACTCATAGGGAGAACCTACAAACTCCACATAGACAGTCGCCAGAGGGTGGAATCGAACCCTGGTTCCTGGCGCTGTGAGGTAGCAATGCTAACCACTCAGCCATGTGATGCCCTTTTACTCTTTCAGGCTGGTCCCCAGCTGCCCCTCTTGTGTCAGTGCTTTGATGCACAGTTCTGTGTAGTATAGAGCCAAACTTAACCCAAGATCTCTGCAAAAATTCAAATCTTGCACTCAGTTAGGGTAACAAGGTGTAGAGCTGGATGAACACAGCAGGCCAAGCAGCATGCTTGGCCTGCTGTGTTCATCCAGCTCTACACCTTGTTATCTCAGATTCTCCAGCATCTGCAGTTCCTACTATCTCAGTTAGGGTAATTTTCTTAATGTAATAGGCATTTTATTCCCTGAAGATTAATTCTTGATGTTAGGTGCAATTTTTACATAAGAGCTTGGGGCTTAGGAACGGGAGTAGATCATTTGGCTCTTCAAACCTGCAGCACCACTCATTAAGTAGCGACTGATATGGTTATGTTCTCAACTCCACTTCTCTGTCTACACCACCTCCCCCACAACCTTGTCTATTGAAGTCAGCCTGGAATAAATTCAAAGAACCAGTCTCCATTATGTTCTGGGGAAGAGAATTTCACACTTGCAAAGTCTTCTGTGAAAACATTTCTCCTTGTTCTTCTTAAAAAAAAGAGACTTCTCATCCTTAAACAAGGCCCCTAAGTTTTAGTCTCCCCTACAAGTGGAAAAATCCTTCTGGTATCCACCCTGTCTGGACTCCTCAAAATCGTATATGTTTAAATAAGATCACCTCTCATTCTTCTTCACTCCGATGGATTTAGTCCTAACCTGTTCAGTTATGCATCAGTTAAGCCTTTCACTCCAGATAAAAAAAACTTCTTTCCTTATTCCACTCAACTGCACCTTTTCCTGACATGTTAAGACCATAAGATATAGGAGCAGAATTAGGCCATCCAATCACGGCTGATACGTTTCCCAATCCCATTCTCCTGCCTTCTCCCCATAACACTTGATCCCTTTACTAATCAAGAACTTTTCTGTGTCTTAAAGACACTCAATGACTTAACCTCCACAGCCCTCTGTGGCAAAGAGTTCCACAGATTCACCACCCTCTGGCTGAAGAAATTCCTCCTCATCTCAGATTAATTGGTCATTACTTCATTCTGAGGCTGTGCCCTTGGTTCCTAAGTGTCGCCTACTGGTGCAGACATCTTCTCCATGTCCACTCTATCAACGCCTCTCAGTATTCTGCAAGCTTCAGCAAGATCCCCCCCATCCTTCTAAACTCCATCAAGTACAGATGTAGAATCCTCAACCACACCTCATAGGACAAGCCCTTCATCCCCGGGGTCATTCTTGCAAATCTCCTCTGGACAGTCTCCAAGGCCAGCACATCCTTCCTTCGATATGGGGCCCAAAACTACTCACAATACTCCCCCTTCTGCCGGAAAACTGCTCAATGAACCACTGTTGACTGATCTCTACAGCAAGTACAGGGCAGCACGGTGGCTCAGTGGCGAGTACTACTGCCTCACAGCATCAGAGACCCAGGTTCAATTCCAGCCTTGGGCTATCTATTAAGAGTTTGCACTTTCTCCGTGTGGGTTTCTTCCCAGTACAAAGGTGGATTGGCCATCCTAAATGGCCCCCTTGTGTCCAGCGATGTGCAGGCTCGGTGGGTTATCCATGGGAATACAGGGTTATAGGGGAGTGGGTCTGGGTGGGATGCTCTTGGGAGGATCAGTGCAGACTTGATGGGATGAATGGCCTGCTTCCACAATGCAGAGGCTCTATGCTTCTAGGTGTATCCTTCTTTAGGTGTGTATCAATCTACTTCAAATCAGAAATTCCTCCCAACTCCTTTTCCCCTCATCTGGTTTATCTGTGCATGCTAAATCACAGGTGGAAACACTGTCGATGCAAGTTCCTCTGGAAATGTTGCTCCACCTTTATATTTTTCCTAATTCAGAAGGAGGACCGTTTCTTAGTTTCACCAACTTCCAGCAATTTTAGACTGAGCATCTCTCAGAGAAAACACTGAATTTTTGAAACAATCTGTAACACGTGCTCTCTCTCGCTGTTAAAATTTTTAATTCGAAATGTTGGTCAGAAGAATCCCCACCTTGTTGGCCTGGTGAACTTGCCTGCATGCATTCTGCAAACATTGGATCGATCGATTAATAGAAGGTGCTGACTCATTCGATCTGCTTGAGTATTACACGTGCTTGTGGGTGTGGGAGCTGGCTTCACAGGGCAAGAAGGGACCTTTGATCTTGGTCGGGTTTGTCCATTACTTTTGTCAATAAACGATTATGTTGATTGTGAGATTGTAAAAGTGTAGGTGTGCATGGCATATGGTGATGGAGCAGATTAGTCTGTCCATAAAATATAATTATATTTGCAAAATTATATTATAGAATCATGGGATTTTACAGTCCAGAAGGAGGCCATTCAATCATTATGTCTGCACTGGCTCCTGAAAGAGCTATCCTATCACTCCATTGCTTTCAAATATATATCTATTTCTCTTTTGAAACCTCCCATGGAATCCATCTTCACAACTCTCCCAGATTCCAAATCCTAACAACTCTCTGAGGAAAGAAGTTTCTCCTTCTCTCACTCCATGCCCTCTTGCTGATAATCTTTAAATTGTGACCCCTAGTTACTGACATACCAACTACAGGAAACAGAATATCCTTATTTACCCTATCAAAATTGTTCATGATTTTGAACACCTTATCTTCTCTGCTTCGAACAGTAGAAGCCCAATCTTTCTAACCTTTCCATGTATCTAAAATCCTTCATTCCTGGTATCATCCTAGTAAACCTCTTTTGCACTCTCTCTACAGCTTTAATATCCTTCCTTAAATAATATGCCCAAAAGCGAACACACACGTAGATATGGTGGTAAAGAAGAAGTATGGCTTATTTGCCTTTATTGGACAGGGAATGGAGTACAAGAGTCAGGATGTCATGTTGCAACTTTATAATACTTTGGTTAGGTCACACTTAGAGTATTGCATTCAATTCTGGTTGCAACATTACAGGAAGGATGTGGAGGCTTTGAAGAGGGTGCAGAAGAGGTTTGCCAGGATGCTGCCTGGATTACAGGATGTGAGCTAAAAGGAGAGGCTGGAAAAACTCAGGTTGTTTTCTCCGGAGTAGCGGAGGTTGAGGAGAGACTTGATAGATGTCTATAAAATTATGAACTGCATAGGTAGGGTTGACGGTCAGAATCTTTCATCCCCCCGAGTTGAAATGTCTAATACTAGGGTGCATGCATTTAAGGTGAGCGGGGTAAGTTGAAAGCAGATGTGAGGGACAAGTTTTTTTTTTTTTTTACACAAAGAGTGGTAGGAGTCTGGAATGCGCTGCCAGGGGTGGTGGTGAAGGAAGATACATTTGGGGTGTTTAAGGGACTTTTAGATAAGCACATGAATATGCAAGGAATGGAGGGATACGGACCAAGGGCAAGCAGAAGGAATTAGTTTAATTTGGCGTCATGTTTGGCATCGTGGGCCGAAGGGCCTGTTCCTGTGTTGTACTGTTCCATGTTCTAACTGAACACAGTGCTCCAAATGGGGTGGTCTGACCCTTGATTTGTGAAGGTGTAGCATCACTTCCTTGCTTTTATACTCTATGAGCCTGTTTACAAGCCCAAGAATTCTATAAGCCTTATTTAGTCTATGTTAGCTTCTTATGTAGAAATTACAGAAACGGCTGTTCAGTCCAGACAGCCTATGTTGGAGGTTTGCCTTTACATGGATAGTAGTCCTAAATGCCAGGCCTATTCCCAAATCCCATCATTTTTCTGTCTGAGACATGGTATCTAACACCTCAATGGTTTGAATAAAATTAGACCCCATGACTTCGGTAGTGACAGAGTCTGGAAAGAAAAGGTTGCTCTTGGCTGACAAAAATAAAGCTCTAAGTTTTGATTTGTTGTCTCATTTCCTCTTTGACAGAATTGAGGGTGACTTATTACCCTACTCGGGTATGATAGGTTCAAAACTGGCCACATGCGGGGCAGATCGCACCTAAACAGCCAAGGAGGGACATGCGTGGGAGGTTCCTGTGCTCTCTCTGACCCTCCAATATCACCTCCACACACACCAAATGAAACTTACTGATGTGCACAGTACCTTTCCGAACTGGACTTTCCCATTTTGGATCTCCATGTCCTGGGACTCTAAGGAACTAGAGGGATGATCGGTCGTTTCAGAGAGGTGTGGAGGACATCTCTCCCGCTGTCTACCTGGGGGTCCCCTGCCGCAACTGAGTACGGCAATTACTTTGGGTTGGGGGGCAATCGGAAACTGCAGTGACTCACTAAGGCTCCATTAATGGCATCTTCCGAACCCACGGCCACTACTGTCTAGAGAGACATGAGCAGGGGATGCATAGAAAGACTAACAGCCAGTTAAAAATCCTCTGGAGGATTAGACCTTCAGTGAGCACCTCAAAGCACTGGGGCAGCATGGTGGCTCAGCGGTTAGCGCTGCTGCCTCACAGCACCAGGGACCAGGGTTTGATTCCACTCTCAGCTAACTGTCTGTGCGGAATTTGCACATTTTCCCAATGTCTCCGTGGGTTTCGTCCCACAGTCCAAAGATGTGCAAGTTAGATGGATTGGCCATGCTAAATTATCCATTCTGTCCAGGGTCATGTAGGTTAGGTGAGGTAGCCATGGGAAATGCAGGGTTACAGAGATAGGGTAGGTGTGGGTGGGATGCTCTTCTGCAGGGTCAGTGTGGACTCAAGGGCCACTGGAGGGATTCCATAAAAAGAAATTACGTCAATGGTGCCTTTGCAACATCCTCTGAATCCAGTAACAGAAAAGGGGGTCCAACAGCACCATTCTCTCCCGGAACAGTTTTAAAAAATTAATTGACGGGACTGCAGACATTGCTGGGCAGGCTAGCATTTACTGCTGATCCCTAATTGCCCCTTCAGAGGGTGGTGGTGAGCTGCCTTCTTGAACTGCTGTAGGTTGACCCACAATACCATTAGGGAGAGAATTCCAGGATTTTGACACAGCAACATTGAAGGAACGATGATGCATTTCCAAGTCAGGATGGCAAGTCGCTTGAAGGGAACCTTACAGGTTGTATTGGTCCCATGTATCTACTGTCCTTGTCCTTCTAGATGGTAGAGGTTATGGGTTTGGAAGGTGCTGTCTGACGACCTTTGGTGAATTTCTGCACTGCATCTTGTAGACGGTACACACTGCTGCTACTGAGCGTCAGCGGTGGAGAGAGTGGATGCTTGTGGATGTGATACCAATCAAGTGGGCTTCTTTGTCCTGGATAGGGTCGAGTTTCTTGCGTTGTTGAAGCTGCACCGATCCAGGCAGGTTGGGAGATTCCCGCTCACTCCTGACTTGTACCTTGTCGATGGTGGACAAGCTTTGGGGATTCAGGAGATGAATTACTTGTTGCGGGATTCCTAGCCTTTGAACTGCTCTTGTAGCCAGAATATTCATATAGCTAGGATAAAGGAATCCAGGGCTCACTACTCTCCAATAAACAGTGACCTTAGTCATGTACCATATGAAATATACACCCTGCCATCTAGACAATTATTTTTGGTGGGGAAAGTTGCATATTATATTCAAAAAATTAAGATAATTAATGTTGGAGTGCTTGAATGAATATCAGGGTCAGTATAGGTCAGCAATACACTGGAAATCAGGGCTCTGATGAAAGGTCAATGACTTGGAACGTCAAGCCCGCTCTCTCCACACATACATCGTCTGAAAGTTTCCAGCCACTACAGTTTTCATTTCCCCTAATTTAATCTTTCTGTGGCTGTGCGACCTGCACCATGACACTCCACATGACTCACTGTGGTAGGAGTGCCTGTGAAGCAGAGATAACACAGCCAGGGGTGGGGGAAGGGGGGTCACTTACGCTCCCAAAGTATTTGTCCAGTAACTCGACATAACGGTGGATCAGCTCCAGTGTCAGCAGTTCGTTGTCCTGGTCCTCAATCGCACAGCAGAAGTAAAGGCTGGCATACCTGTGAGGGAGAGACAAGAGGTATCACTACACATATAGCATTGACAACAAGTTTATAACGATCACTTCTTGCACTGGCAGATTCTTACACCACCCATGTTTCCACACACTCAGTAACTCCTGGCATATATAAAGCATTGCCAAATGCAACGCACACCAGATGTTTGGAACATTGTGGTCAGTCCATCATCATTCCCATTTATTTTTATTATATTGTGAAATGTGGGTGTCGTCAGAAAGAACTGCATCTGTTGCCTATACCTAATTACCCCTTGAACTGAGGAATGTGCTCAAAGGGCAGTTAAGAGTCAATGCTGTTGCTGTGGATCTGGAGTCACATCGGCCAGACTAGGTAAGGATGGCTGATCTTCCTCCCAAAAGGAGGGAAATGGCTTTGCTATTTTCCCTTCCGCCAACAATAGTTAAAAGGTACAATCCCAGAGTATCACAGGGATGCTCTCTTGTTATACAGAAAGAGAGAGAGAGAGAGAGAGAGAGAGGGGGGGGGGGGGGGGGAGGCGGGGAAGGTGGGGAGACAGAGGGGACATGGATTACTAACCCAGTGATATTACCATGACGCCACTGTGCTCCACCCCACCCATGCAGAATGCACATCCCAACTTCTAGATCAATATTTATAGGGAAAGGAAATGCATATTAGTTTAGGAAAATTATGTTGTAAGCACATTTTCCCCATTATCCCACAGGCATCTTACCTCCCCCACCAACACCACACAACTCTGAACAGAGGGGTGTGCACAATTCATGGATACAAGAACGATTCAGAGTTATACAGCACCAAAACAGACCCTTTGGTCCAACCTGGCCATGCCACCATAATCCCAAACTAAAATAGTCACATTTGCCTATGCTTGGCCCATATCCGTCCAAACATTTCCTATTCATATACTTATTCAAATGTCTTTTAAATGTTGTAACTCTACCCGCATCCGCCACTTTCTCTGGAAGTTCATTCCATACATGAACCACTCTGTGTAACAAAATTGCTCCTGGTCTCTTTTCTATATCTTTTTCCTTTCACTTTAATCCCTCACCCTAGGGAAAAGGCACCTACCATTAACCCCATCTATACCCCTCATGATTTTATAAGACTCGATAAGATCACTCCTCAGCCTCCTACGCTCCAGTGAAAGTACCAGCCTATCCAGCCTCTCCTTATAACTTAAACCCTTTTTTTCGGGCAACATGCTGGTAAATCTTTTTTGAACCCTCTCCAGCTTAATAATAGCTTTCTTATAACTGGGCAACCAGAACTGGACACAGTACTCCAGAAAAGGCCTCACTAACCTTCTGTATATCCAGACCATAATTATCCCACTCCTATACTCAAAGGTCTAAGCAATGAAGGCAAGCGTGCTAAACATCTTCTTAACCACCCTGTCTACATGTGACGCAAACCTCCAACAATTATGTACCTGAACTCCTAGGTTTCTCTGTTCTACAACACTACCCAAGGCCCTACCATTAATTGTATAAATTCTGTCCCTGTTTGTTGTACCAAAATGTAACACTTCGCATTTATCCAGATTGAACTCCATCTGCCATTTTCCAGTATACAAGTTTATAAAATCAGAGGGTATAGATAGGGTTAATGGTAGGTGTCTTTTACCTCGGATGGGGTATTTCAAGGCTAGGGGGCATTTTTTAAAAAAGGACAAGGGGCAAATCATCAAATTGGACAAAGAGATTTTTTGGTTCCCAAATGGCATAGTGCTGTGATTGGAACAAGGTCAGCCAGGTTGACCTCATAGAATAAGTTCCCTGATTGGACCGGGTTAACAGCCCCAGTCAGGGAGCCCTGGTTGACAGGTATAAACAGGAGTGACAGAGATTCTGCTCACTCAGAGAGCTGGATCAGTGTCAAGTACTTGGTGATGGGATACTGGCCTCTATGGAGTTATTTCACATAGTTTTACATTACAGAGACGGATGTAGATGGAACTGTAGTATTGCTGAAGACATATTTTGTTGAAGCTTTGCTTTGCAGCACTCATCAGGATAATTTGCAAAGATGCCCAAAGTATAAATGCTTTTATTTTTTGTGTTAATGTAGGAAAGTCAATGGGTTGTTTGGCTAACAGTCTCTGCTTGGTAGAGCTGCACTAATGGAGAATGCACAAGTTAATGATAACTGATAGTTAATTGCAATTCATTGTTTAAATTTTGAACTAAGCAAATTGACACTGACTGTTCAAGGCATTATTCTGAGAATTGAACCAGAAAATGGCCGTCACCTATTTTAGAGAGTAGATTTTACACACAGGGTTTAAAAGACACTTAGTTAAGTACATGAAAAGGAAAGATTTGGAGGGATATGGGCCAGGAGCAGGCAGGTGGGACTAGTTTAGTTTGGAGTTATGGACCGAAGGATCTGTTTCCAAGCTGTATCCGTCAGTGGCAAACACTTGTGTCACCACTGCATAGTAGCAGTATGAGACAGCTAGTGTCACCTGTTGCTCCAACCTTTGAGATATGAATTTCAGTGCTGGTGCAATGCTAGGTACATGAGACCCATGTCCCAAGGACTGGCAGTGGTATCATATCAAACAACACGTCCTATCAGCTGCTTGCAACAAGCAAAGTACTGACCTTTCCCAACCAGTCTGTGCTTGTGAAACTAATAGTGTTCAACATGAGTTGCAACTCCCGGACTGGACAGCAATTGCTAAATAATCTAAATGCGCAAAGAATTGCACTGACAACAAACTTACAATGGTCAGGCTCACTGTGTGGTGCATACTGGAAGCCCCACAGATAATACACAGGGCACTGTTCTTTGCAGAAAGACAGAGCATGTAAATTACTGTAACAATCCTGTGGCTTTAAGAGGTGTATTTTGTCCTTTTGTATTTGAAGAGGTTTTAAGGCAGAAATGCCAAGCTGGCTAGTGAAGAAACAAAGTAAACAGCTTGGGATTTATATTTAAAAAGCTGGAACAATACAAGCAGCCTGAATGGATGTGGTCAAGCTCTCATAGATCAAGGATATTTAGTTAGCTTTCAGCAGCTGCTGTTGGATTTTCAACAGAGTTGGAAGCTGCAGTTAATGTCTCCTGGTTGCCACTCTCTGTTTTCACTTGATATTTTTTCTTTCTCACTCTGCTGCTGGGTTGCATGTGAGAAAAACTGATTTCTACACTTGCCTATTTGCTAAGGGGTGTGTTTATGGGATGTGACTATATTGGAACAGTTAATTAGTAAGTTTTCCAATAGAGTTGAGTTATTCCAAGTTCTTCTTTCTTTTGTTGTATCTTAACTACAGTGCTTAAATTAATTATGTTTTGCTTAATGTTGAGTAGTTTGAATTGCATCTGGAACACAGGCACTTTACATTTGCCTTTAAAAATAAGAAAAAGTTAGGGTCTAGGCTACCTTCTTAATATATTCTGAGGGGGTCTGGTCCGGTCCAGTCGAAAACATTACACTGTGCCTGCTGCAGCTCAACAAAACAGATGACAACCATGATCAGGTTCATTTCTTAGGCAATGCCATTAACAGTGTCAAACAGCCTGGTTTACAATTTAACTTCAATCCTGGCAGTTAACTGCCAGACAACATCTACTGGTGCACTCTCCATGGCAACATCTCCAATCAGCAGTCCACTTGCCAACCAATCAGCACTTGCCTCTCTTACAGTATAGTTGCCATTATCCCTTTGCTGTGAATATTTTTGTACATTGCCCTGACAATTCAAGATTAACTTCTTCATGGAAATGTGGTATTTTAATTGGCTGTCTTTGTACACATTTTTGCGCTACATTAAATTGAGTCTTTTGCAGATTTTTGGGGAGGTCGGGGGAGAAAGGAGAATTCAAGATCCAGGAGAGAACCAGAAGGGAAAGGTGGGGAAGGGGCAGGAGGGAGAATGAAGGGAGACACACAGTCCTGACATAACATCTTGTCCAAACAAAACAATAGCTCCGACACTGCAACACTCCCTCAGGACCACATGGGGAGCACTAACCTGGATTATGGTACTCAGAGTTTCTGGTGCAGGGCTTGAACCAGTGACGTTGAGATCTGGAGGAAGAACAGAAACCTAACAGGGAGAAGCGAGCTTGTTGGAATCAGTGTAGGGGAGGTGGGCAGAATATATTCGTGGATCACGCCAAATTTAGACTAGCTGAGCAAATAGTGTCATCACGACTGAAAACAAAACAGCGAACCAAATTATTCATAGATCAATGATCATGGAGCAATTAAGAGACTCTTCCCGGCTCTGCTAAATAGTTCTAGTCTTCTTCAAATCCCTGATTGCCATACGGAGAGAGACAGATTGCAATCTGAACATCAATTGTTGGAAAGATGTGCTAAGAGTTTCCTAATTGTTGCATAGCCAGTAAAACCACTTACAGGCCCTTCTTATTGAAAACCAGTTTCCTGGTCGGTTTCCAGAACAAGACTACATTTGTACTTTGCCTTTAGCAGAGCGAAATCCTTTTCAGTACCAATACCACTGGCTGCACGCCTTCAATAGATTCACCAAATGCTGTGATTCTTTGTTTTTATTCACTTGTGGGATACGGGTGTCACTGGCTGGCCAGCATTTATTGCCCATCCCTAGCTGCCCTTGACTTGCTAAGCCATTTCAGAGGGCAGAGTCAACCATATTGGCTGTGGGTCTGCAGTCACATGTAGGCCAGACAAGGTAAGGATGGCAGTTTTTCCCCAGACAATATCAGTGAGCTAGATGGGATTTCCTGACAATCAGCAATGGTTTCATGGTCATCAGTAGGTTCTTAATTCCACATTTGTTTTTCTTCCCCTAATTGATTTCAAATTCAATCATCTGCTGTGGTGGGATTTGAACCTGGGTCCCCAGAACATTAGCTGAATTTCTGGAGTAAGAGTCTAGAGATAATACCACTAGGGCATTGCCTGCCCCTAAATACATCCTGTTCCTTCACTCTCTCTTGGTCCTAGTCCTGAAACGTCCTTCCCACTAGGAGCACTCTGGGTGGCTCCACACCACATGGGCTGCAGCAGTTAAAGCAGGCAGCACACCACCACTTTCACAAGGAGCAATTGTGGATGGGCAATAAATGCCATTACCAGAGTCAAACTGCCTGGTTTACAGTTTGATTTTAATCCTGGCAGTTAATTGCCAGGCATAATTAATGGTTGCATTTGCCATGGCAACAACTCTGATCAAAAGTCCACCTGCCAACCAATCGGCACTTGCCTCCCTTACAGTACAGAACAGATAGTGATGCCCACATTCCCTGATGATGGCAAAGCAAAAGAAACATAGAATCCATAGTGTAGAAGCAGTCCATTCAGACATCCCTGGACACTATGGGACAATTTACCTTGGCCAATCCACCTAATCCCTACATCTTTGGACTGTGGGAGGAAACCTACGCAGATACGGGAAGAATATGAAAACTCCACACAGACAGTCACTCGAGGTTGGAATTGAACCATGTCCTGAGCACTGAGGCAGCAGTGCTAACCACTGAGCCACTATGCTGCTCTGGTTAAGAGACATGTAAGCCAGTCCAGGTAAGGATGAGAGATTTCCTTCCCTAAACAGCATTAGTGAATCAGATGGGATATTCCAACAATCGACAATGGTTTCCTAGCCAAAATTAGACCCTTAATTCCAGGTTCTTTTTATTGAATTCAAATTCCACCATCTGCTGTGGTGGCATTTGAACCCAGATCCCCAGAAGACTAGCTGAGTTTCTAGTCTAGCGATAATACCGAGATCAATAACAGTGTCCTCTTCCAAGGCCACGGGCTCAGCACTGAGGCATGAATCCCTTGAAACCAATTCTGCTGAGTCGTTCATTTGCCTGGAACTCGGTCACAACAGGAGACAGCCAGGGGACAGTGGAACCTTTCCAGGATGTCCTCATTCCTGATGAGGTCAGACAACCTGAAACTGACTCAGGGATGGGCATCCTGGCTTGTGACCAACCATAAAGGAGAAGGTTCAATCGGTACGACAGTGAACTCGGGGAGAGACTACTGCTCTTAGATCTCCAATCATTTCTTTGAATGGTAAGGACAAAGTTTGCATTGTATAAATACAAAGAATTGTTCCAACAAGGAGGAGCAGAGAGCTAAACACAAAAGAATGATCAAGTCTGTGGCTGGGAGTGTCCTGAAGATTTACCTGGCGTTTGCTGGGACTGGAGAGTTTGAATTGTAAGGAGAGGCTGGATAGGCTGGGACTTTTTTCCTTGGAGCGTAGGAGGCTGAGGAGTGACTTTACAGAGATTTATAAAACCTTGAAGGGCACAGTTAAGGTGAATAGCCAAGGTCTTTTCCCTAAGGGTAGGGGTGTCCAAAACTAGAGGGCGGAGGTCTAAGATGAGAGGGGAAAGATTTAAAAGGGACCTGAGGGACTTTTTCCACACAGAGGGTGGCGTGTATATGGAATAAGCTGCCAGAGGAAGTGGTGGAGGCAGATACAATGACAATATTTAAAAGATATTTGGGCAGGTACATGGATAGGAAGAATTCAGAGGGAAATGGGCCGGGTGCAGGCAAATGGGATTGGTCCAGTTTAAGAAACATGGACGAGTTGGGCCGAAGGGTTTGTTTCCACGTTGTATGACTCTAAGAGGCTGGAGCACAAACAATGAGAAAAGCAGAAATCTGAAGGCCGGGATGTTGCCTTATGGGATACAGAGAAAGATGGAGCAGCTCAGTAGGAAAAAACACAAGAGGACCATGGAAATCCCCAGGAAGGTGGAAGAGGAGGAAGAAAAACTGGCAGTGAACAACATCAAGAAAAGGGCAACTGAGTGGATTAGCCATTATGGAAGGGGCAGAAACCGGCTGAAAGCAGGTGACTGAGATGTAGGCCAAGATGGAACAACACAAGAGTCAGAATTTTGACAGCATGGTAAGAAACCTCTCGATTCATCATGTCATGCTAGTCATCAAACACTTATCCCACTTTCCAGCACTTAGCCCCTAGCCTCTGCACTTTGGCATTTCAAATGCTCATCTAAATGCTTCTTAAATGATGTGAGGGCTCCCAACTCCATGACCCTGTCAGGCAGTGATCCTCCAACCTCTGGTGAAAACATTTCTCCTCAAATCCCCTGTTCCAAAATTCTGTTTGCCTCAATCAGGTCCCCTCTCATCTTACTCCGCTTCAAGGAAAACATCCCAATAGCTTATGTAGTCTCTCTCTCCATTGTGGAGTCGCTCCAACATCATGGCATAACTCCTCTGCACCCTCTCTCGTGCAATCACATCCTTCCTATAGTGTTGCAACCAGAACTGTTCACATTGCTCCAGCTGTGGCCTATCCTGAGCTTGAGACTGTCCAGCCAGTGATGAAAACAGCCTTCTAGTATCTACCACATGAAGCTCTCTTAGCTAAAGCAACGTATCGAAATCTCTCATTGCTCGAACTACCTGAGAATCTTGTCTTGCGTTCTCACTTGGAGGTTGGCTTCCTGCATTTTAGGAAGGCACAAGTCTTTCATTGTTAGAGGTATGGAGTTTAAAAACAGAGTAGGTTATACTGCAGCTGTATAGGGTGCTGGTGAGGCCATATTTGGAGGACTGTGTATAGTTTTGGTCTCCTTACTTGAGAAAGGATGTCCTGGCACTGGAGGGGCTGCAGAGGAGTTTGACTAGGTTGATTCCAGAGTTAAGAGGGTTCGCTTATGATGAGAGATTGAGTAGACTGGGACCATACAAATTGGAATTTAGAAGGTGGAGGCTGGTACAATTACAATATTTAAAAGGCATCTGGATGGGTATATGAGTAGGAAGGGTTAAGACGGACATGGGCCAAATGTTGGCAAATGGGATTGTTTAATTTACGATATCTGATCAGCATGGATGAGTTGGACCAAAGGGTCTGTTTCTGTGCTGCATGACTCTCTAACCCTAGTTTGTGTAAACCCACCTTGTGATTTGACCTTTGACAGTCCTATGAATCTATGCTGCACTCCAAGGTCACAATATCCTTCCTGAAGCATGGTGCTTAAAGCTGTTTGACAAACACACGATTGTAGAATCCCTACAGTGCCGGAAGAGGCCATTCAGCCCACTGAGTCTGCACCGACCCTCCAAAGAGCATCAAACTCATACCCAGCATCCCACCCAGATCCAGGCCCACCACCCTATCCCTGTAATCCTGCATTTCTCACGTCTTAGCCACCTAGTTTACACAATCCTGGACTCTATGGACAATTTAGCACGGCCAATCCACCTAACCTGCACATCTTTGGAGTGAGAAAAGAAACCAGAGCACCCGGAGGAAAGCCACACAAACATGGAAGAATATGCAAACTCCACACAGACAGTTGTCTGAGAGTGGAATCAAATCCGGATCCCTAGTGCTGTGAGGCAGCAGTACTAACAGCTGAGCCACCATGCTGCCCCAGGAATACGAATAGAACGATATGCTGACAGGACCACTGAAGGGGCTCAGATGGGCTGAACAGCCCCGTCTGCATGCTGCAAAGTGTCCTGCAAGAAAAAGTGACGCACCTCTTGTAAACGATCTTCAGGTCCTTCCACTCCAGGAAGCTGCACATCTTGGGCTTGCGCCCGAGGACAATCTGCATCAGTTCCCGGCCCAGTTTCTTCTTCTCCTTTTCCGAGACAGCGGTGTACCATTTCTGCAGCCTCAGCTTGCCCTGTCGGCTGAACAACAGCATGAAGCGCATCTGTGGACCCAGAGCAGACCAGGGTGAGCTGGGGAGGTGGCTGTCTTCACAATGCAACCTTCAGGGAGCGCTCTCCCTGACACCACACAATTGCTCCCCATCCAAACCAGAGCCCTGCCCTTTCCCATCATTCAGTTCCACCTATGGCAAAAATTTACCTCATCACTTTTCCTTACCACATTGCTGTGAGAAAGCTTGCTGTATACCAATTGGTTGTAGAGCTTCCAACGATGCACTACTTATAACACCTCGTCATTGGCCTTACAACACTTTGAGATGTCCCAAAGGATGTAACCAGCACTTTATAAATCAAATCTATTCTCTTTACTGGTTAACTTTATCCAGAGTGAGGTCATGAAACCACAGCTCTGCCCAGAAAATCCAGCTGACAAACATTCAAACCAAATCAAATCAGCAAACGCAGCTTCACCGTCTCACTGACATCATTAATTTTGGCACATGAGACACACTTGCAGCCTGGAAGCTTTCACCTGTGTTTTGAAACTAAACAGCATACAGATTCAGATACAGAACTGAATCTCGACAACAATAGCATACTTCTTTTCACATCCGTGACAGTTATCATAGAATCCCTACAGTGTGGAAGCAGGCTATTCGCCCATTGAGTCCACACTGTCCTTGCAAACAGCATCCCACCCAGATCCACCCAACTACCCTATCCCTGTAACCCTGTATTTTCCATGGCTAACCCACCTAGCCTGTGCATCCCTGGACACTATGGGCAATTTAGCAGGGCCAATCCACCTACCCTGCATATCTTTGGACTGTGGGAGGAAACCAGAGCACCTGGAGGAAGCCCACACAGACACAGGGAGAACGTGCAAACTCCACACAGTCACCTGAGGGTGGAATCGAACCAGAGTCCCTGGCGCTGTGAGGTAGCACTGCTAACCACTGAGCCAATGTATTTTTCTGTATCTTTTAAATTGAACATGTTTTGTACCTGCCCTGGGATTGTTTGACGAGGACAGTGCAGAAAGAGCTTTACTTGCAGTTTTTAAAAAAAAGAGTGAAGGGACTTTTTCAGTTTAAAAGAGTCGAGCTTTACTTTATATCTAACCCTGTATTATCCCTGTCCTGGGAATGTTTGATGGAGATAATGTAGAGTTAGCTTTACTCTATATCTAACCCTGTGCTGTCCCTATCCTGGAGGGTGTTTGATGGGGAACAGTGTAGAAGCTGTTTTATTTCAGTTTAAAAGTAGAGGAAGCTTACATGAGTACAGAAACTTTTACTTTCAATTTACTCTGTTTCTAACCCCTTGCTGGATCTGTCCTGGGAACGTTTGATGGGGGCAATGCTGAGAGGGCTTTACTTTCTGTTTAAAAGAGTAGAGAGAGCTGGCATTTCATTGTAAAATGAGTAGAAGGTGCATCACTTTCAGTTTTAAAAATTTAGAGAAATGCTTCCTTTCAGTTTAAAAGGGTAGGGGAAGCCGTACTATGTATTCTGTACCTATCCTTCGGGTGTTTGATGGGGCAGTATAGAAAGTGCTTTATTTTCAGTTTTTAAAGGAGAGGAAGCTTTACTCTGTATCTATCCCCGAGCTGTTCCTGTCCTGGGAGTGTCTGTTGAACACAACAGAGTGAATTTCAACAAATTCAGCAAAATTACTGAACATAGGAGATTCACTGAAAAGCTCACTATCTCATACAAATAGTTCAAGTGCTTTGCAAAGCTGAATTTAATCTGACTGCAATGACTTGTGAGGACAAAAGCAATTATCTTACAAGCTCCAACATACAGCCATGAGCTGAGCAACCAGTTCATCTGCATTTAGCAATATTGCACAAGTTGGCAGCTACGTGTTTCATTACGACAGAAAATGCATGTCAAAAAAAAGGACGACATTGGCAATAGAGTGCAGCGAAATTCCCTCAGGTTGTGAAAGGTGCCAGAGCAAGTATTTCTTGATCATTTTAAGGGAATTAGTTCAACAATAGCTCAAAAGCCGAAGATCATTCCCCCCTTTGGAACATATGCCAAAAGAAGGAAAGGAAATATTTAGCACACTGTTTTAGGCTTGTTGCTTACTCATCCACCAGCAGAACCCTTGGATGACATGCCTGGTTGACGTGCAAAGGTCAATCCACAGGCATCAGCCCAGAGCCTTTCAAAAGTAACACTGTTTACAGAAAAAATATTGAGGTAACATTGAGGTCAATCTGCTGCAAAGGGATGGATGCCCTCGAGAGGTTTTAGGCTCCAGAGGTTTTATTTTTGCAATTCATAACAAATCAACTTCCGTGTGAAGCACTGAAGCTTTAAAAGGGCGTCAACTCTTAGGAAAGACAGCACAGAAATAGGCCATTCTGCCTGATTCCTCTGTGCTGGTTTTCAATGTCTGTATATGCAACTCCCCCCCAACACACCCACTCTTCACCTCACCCAAGCACCATCTCCTTCCACTCCTTTCTCTCTCTCATGTAATCATCCATCGAAATGGACAGACACCATTCACTTCCAACCATTTCCTGCAGTAGCAAACTCTCCATTCTCAACACTTGGCTGAAGAATTTGTTTCCGATTTCCCCATTGGATTTCTCTGTGATCATCTTATAGTAACGGCTCCTAGTTCTGCTCTTCCCCACAAGAGACAATGAGATGTAGGAACAGATGTTGCCCATTCGGCCCATTGAATATGTTGTCATTTAGTGGTAGGGTCCTGGGGAGTGTTGTCAAACAGAGACACTTTGGGATGCAGCTTCATAGTTCCTTGAAATTGGACTCACAGGTAAACAGGGTGATGCAGAAGGCATTTGGTATGCTTGCCTTTATTGGTCAATGCACTGAGTATAGGAATTGGGAGGTCATGTTGTGGCTGTACAGGACATTGGATAAGCCACTTTTGGAACACTGCTTTTAAATTGGTCTCCCTGCTATAGGTGAGATGTTGTGAAACTTGAAAGAGCAGAAAAGATTTACAAGGATATTGCCAGGATTGGAGGGTTTGAGCTAGGGAGAGGCTGGAGCTAATTTCCCTGGAGCGGAGGCTGAGGGGTGACCTTATAGAGGTTTATAAAATCATGAGGAGCACAGATAGGATGAATAGCTAAGGCCTTTTCCACATGTTAGGGAGTGCAAAACTAAACAGCATAGGTTTAGGGTGAGAGGAAAACAATTTAAAAGGGACCCATGGGGCAACTTTTTCACGCAGAGGATGGTGAGTGTATGGAATGAGCTGCCAGAGGAAGTGGTGGAGGCTGGTACAAATACAACATTTAAAAGGCATCTAGATGGGAACATGAATAGGAAGGGTTTAGAGGGATACATGCCAAATGCTGGCAAATAGGGCTAGATTATTTTAGGATATCTGGTCAGTATGGATGAGTTGGACCAAAGGGTCTGTTTCCATGCAGTACAGCTCTACGGCTTTAATGGAAATCATGACTGATTAGACAATCCTCAACTTCCTGCCTTTTCCCCATAACCCTTGATTAAAAATCTCAGAATATACTGAACGACCCAGCTTCTGCAGTAATGAATACCACAGTTTCACTACCCTGTGAGAAAGCAATCTTCCTCATGCATCTTAAATGTGGCCCCACTTTATCACCATCTCCATTATCTCTCAGTCTTTTGCAATGTTTAAAGGCCTCTTCCAGTCATCCCTCTCTTTTACTACCACAGAGAGTGGTTGAGGCCAAAACATTGTGCATTTTAAAGGAGGTAGATATAGCTTTTATGGCTAAAGGGATCAACTGATACGGGGGTGATGGAGGGCCAGGATTAGGACATTGAGCTCAATGATCAACCATGGCTAATTGAAGGGCCAAATGACCTACTCCTGCTTTTATTTTCATGCTTTTTCACTCAAAAGAATGGAGTCTTAAGCCTGTCAACCCTTTCCTAAGGAGCATACATGTTCTCCTCTGCTAACACCCTTGTAAATGTTCTTCACAAATCCTCCTGTGCCTCTTCACAACCATTTGGGGGAGAAAAAAAAACTCATTTGGCATGGAACCTTTGGGAAGCCAACTGCCTCCATCATCCAGTCCATGCTGACATGTAACTCCAGACCCACAGCAATATGTTGAATAGTTGATATCGTCACGGCATTCACAGTAAATCTAACTTTGCCTGCTTCACTCACACTCCAACAGAAAAATGAATAATCAAAAACACTCGAGCCCTACCCATCTGTTTGGATAAACAATAAACATGAAGGGACACAACATGAAAGGGACCACTTCTGATGTGCAGTGCCAGAATTTGTCCCTCTGCCATCATTACTCAAACAGTTTATTTCTGTACTTGTGTTTTCCAACATCATGGTGCTCATCAATCAGCACTTTTCCCCTTTGTTCTTTCATGAGAATGTGGGCATTGTTGGCCTGTCCTCAACTGCCCTTGAACCGAGCAGCTTGCTTGGCCATTTGAGTCAAACACATTGCTACGGGACCAGAGTCACATGCAGACCAAACCGGATATGGAAAGCAGATTTCCTTCCCTAAAAAGGGGATCAGTGAACCAGACGGGTTTTCACGGAAACCATGATTGACGTGAATTTCGAAACTGCTGTGGTGGGATTTGAACCGATGTCCTCAAAGCTTCAGTCTGTGCCCGAGGATTACGAACCAGTGACATTACCACTAAGCCACAATTTCCCAACTATTGTTCAGCACTTCGAAGAAACTAGTGTTTGTTTCTAATCTATAAAAGGCTTCACCACAACCTCTAACCCCATCTCCAAAACATTCTTCAGGCTTGACAACCTCCTCCAGCCCCCTATGCCCCTCCCTACCTCCATCACCTCCTCCAGCCCCACATACCCCTCCCATCTCTGTAACTTATCCAGACCCTACACCTCTCCCTATCCCTGTAACCCATCCAGCTCCTTTACATCTCCTTATCACTGTAACATTCTCCAGCCGCCATAACCTTGTCGGTTCTCTGTACACGCCCAATTCTGGCCTCCTCAGATCATCCATTTTCATGTTTGATGGCTGTGCCTTCAGCTGCCAAGGCATCAAACCAAA